AATTTATCAGTGTAAGTTTCTAATAGTATATGTCATTGAAAGAAATGTGACACTCGTTGTATTAATATTTGTTGCTCCATTTACAGATCCATCCTGAGGTTGAAAGGGCGAGGAGGAAGCCCTTGTTGGATTACAATCTATATTATTGTGCGTTTGCCAATACTCGGGCAAATGGGGCCTTTGAGTATGGTCAAGATGATGCTCCACCACAACATAGGTCCGGCAGCCCAACTGAGCGAGGAACAACTAGTTTCAATGACGGTGACGATGTTCCTCCTACAGATAGAAGACATGGCATGCATAGAGAAAGCCGCGGACAACATGCACACTCACCACCGCGAGTAGTACGTCGACGTTCAAGTCGTAGCTCTCGTAGAGCGTCGCCTAGCTATATGGAGCGTGCCGTGGATCGCCTCGTCAATTCGATAGAAACAAGCAGTCGGTCGCGCGGTGTAAGTGCATCTGCGAACATGTCGGCTCAAGTTGAAAACATTCAGGATCAATGCATGGATTTATTGGCAACGTTGGACATCTCCCAAGAACAGTATCTCTTCATGTTCAACTTCATGACTATGGAGCCTAGGTGGCGGCGTCCATTCCTGCATATGCCAGAACACCATCAGCTTGTGTGGATTCAGCAGACTATGGAGCAGTGTACCAGACAACAAGTTGCTCCTCAGCCGCCACAACAAATGCCTTCGACCTCGTACTTTCAGCCGAACACGCAAGCGAACCCTGCCCACGGCAACACATTCGGCCAGCCCACTTCCCCATTTCAACTATTCATGCCACCGTTCTCGAGACCCAACTACACAGTGCCACGTGGAGGCGATGGTTCTTCGTAACTGTGATGCTGTTATTCGATTCGTTTTATTTGTTACGAACATATAAAGACTTCATTGAACATGTTATTTTTATGGTTCTAATTCCTTTATTGTTTTTCATTTTTAGTACTAATTGAGTAATTCTTATTAGATTGCGGCACATTTGGTTGAGGATTTGTTACTTAATGCGAGCTTATTTATGCAAGAGTATGTTTTATATGTACTTTTGAACTTTACACATATGATTTGTATTTTTATAACTTTATGCTTCATTATTTTGAAAATTTGACAGGGATGGATATAGGCGGGAATTCTAATCCGTTGGGTTCTAATGAATCAGACTATGACAGTGATGATAATTTTTTCATGCAAGTTGTCGCTGCGGCGACTACGCTATGTGTTGGATTTATATACAGAGAACCTTCTCGCCGAAGGCACACTTCTGGTTGGGGAGGCGCACTTAGGGTGCAGTATTATTTGGAACGTAGTCCAACAGTGATGTATGACAAAGTCCGTATGAGTAGTGATGCGTTCTTGCGACTAAGTTTTATCCTTGAGGAAAGGGGCTTACTGCAACCAACTGTCCACCTAAATGTTGATGAGCAATTATTTATATTCCTAACTATATTATGTCAGAACCAAACTAACAGGGAGGCACAAGACACTTGGCAACGATATGGATCGACG